GATTCTCTCCCCTCTTCCGCCCTTCCCCCATTTTCTCAGCTGTACTTAACTGAAACCTTCCTATGTCCCCTTTGAGCAGACTTTTCTGTCACAGCATGGTGCTGATCTCCTCCCCATAGCAAACATCTTCCTGTTAATTCTAATTTGCAATATGTTACCCTGATTTGCTTCTGGCTGCTCCCTAATTATGTTCCAACGTGTTTTAACCGTTAAGATATAATTAGTGTTTGAGAAGCAAAGAGCAACTAGATTTCATTATTTCTAGTGTACAAATTGTATTAAATAAATCAAAAGGAAACTGGATGGCTCTGGGGAATTGCTTATGTAGCCTTTGCTGTCTTGGTCCCTGTTTCAACTCTAGTCTATGTAAAAAGTATCCATACGTTTTTACAATTTTGATGGGCTGTGTGTGATGAGTTGATGGTCTCAGGCCAATAACTCAGAAGTAACTCCAGTATCTGGGAGCAGTAGTTGGGGAGCTCCTGCTAATTTTAACAGCAGAAGGGGAGCTATGCTTCCCACCCTGCTGCTCTCCATTACTTTAACCCTCTGCAGTCCCAGCAGAGAGGCCCAGGAGTAAAGGTCAGTCCTGCAAATTGAGGGCACTGAGCACCCTGCAAGATGACATCCTCATAAATGGATGCAGAGACTGAATGGTTAAAACTGAGGGAATCATGGAAAAAGAATATCTGTGAATATTAATTCAAATTAAAAAGTGAATTGTGATTCAGCCACATGCCAGGAACCAGAGCTTCCCTCAGAACTTGGGGGAATGTACTCAACTTTTGGCTAACCAAGAGTTTCGATCAGGTAGGGTTCAGAGAACCAGTGTGTGAATGGGGCCGCAGTTTAGGGATCGTACATGCTGCTCTGCTCTGAAAATGGTCCCATTTTGGCAGGATAATTTAATGGAATCAGGACTGACTTTCGATTTGCAATGAAATGCATAATGGCTCAAACTCCTAGCCTTCCAAATGATTCGCCACTGATTTGCTACAGCACCCATTATGAGCTTGCAGTGCTGTTCAAAGAAGTTCTCTTTCAGCACTCTCCAACACCCCGTTTCATTTCTGAAAGTTTCTTTCTCTCCCTTTGTTATTTCCTGGCCATATCACCTTATGATTCGTGACTTGATTCTATTGACCCAGTGTGACGCATCAGCCAAGAAATTTTAAAAGACAGGATTTTTCTCAAAGGTTCAGATGATGAAAGTCTGATTTTCCAGCACAGTTGGCCAGCCAGGTCCTTTTATGTTACAAAATGTGATTGTAGCAGCCTGACATGAAGCATTTTTCAGGATACAACCGAACAGCAAAGAAATTTCTCAGAAGCAGAAGGAGAGAAGCGGTCCTTTTGCTTCTGAGAGAATAAAACTGAATTTACAACATATGAGGCCTTCTCTGCAAATTACCTGAGCAGCGGACAATTAATTTCTAGGTGCAAATGTGTGCAAAAGTTTTGCAGGGTTCAGGGCCACTGGCATCTACTTCTCGTCTACCATGATGCACTGGAGGTGGTGTGCTCTTTAAAGCTTGGTGCCTCCGTTTCCCTATATATTAAAAGGGAATAATACATGCCTCACAAGGGTATTAAGGAGTTTAATAATTTAGGGTTAGATTTTCAAAAGCTCTTAAGCAATTTAGGAGCACAAGGCCCTTTGAAAGTCAATGGGAAATGTGGTCCTAAATCACTTACATGCTTTTGAAAATCACAACACTAATATTCATAAAACATATTAAGATGCTTGCATAACATTAAATCTATGTGAGGGTTTTCTAGGTTGGACTTCACTGGCAGACTTTCGAAACAGCTCAGGGCTAGATTTTCAAATGTTCATCTTCCAAAATTGGGGTCTGATTTTCAGTCATGCTCAGAACCCTCTAGGCAGGGGGCACTTTTGAAAATCTGGCCCTGTGTTAGTTAAGCCTCACATAGGTAAATTAGGTTATATAGCAGACTTCTGCTCTTCTCCTTTCCCAGATTTTAGGAAGCCTGTTTGGAGTATACAGGTGCATTGTTTATTCACAATATAGGAAAAAACCTTTCCAGTTCCATTAGAAAAGCTTAAGCAAAAACTTGTGTCGGGCCACGTGTTCTAAATGTGGCCAAATTTTGGCATAGTCTAATCCCCACTGGTAGCTCATTCCATAGCCAGACCTTCTTCTCCACGAATGCCTTGTGTCCAGCTCTCATGTGCTTCATCGGGGACTTCTTTAGCTGCATTGTCCCAGAGAACTAAGTGGCTCTTGCATGGAAATGAGGCTTACATACACGATATTATTGGTAGTAATTATTTTATCCATCTGAGTGCAACTAAAATTCTTACTTGTGACAATCTGGTGAGAAGAATGTAAATCACTAGCTGTGTGTGTAAATGGCAATGGGTTATTTTATAACTGTTCATGGCTTTAACATCTGATAGAATTGAGAGAGAGAGAGAGAGGTCCTAGGGCTTAGCTTCCCTGGCTAAGACCTCCACGTTTTCTCTTCACCCCGGTTTCTTTCCCAGGGATCTTGGGATGGGAGGGGCTTCTGTTCCTATCTTATTTTGCTTTTCGCCCTTCTTGTTACCACTGAATAAATAACTAGGTTAGACTGTCTATCCCAAGTGCATCATTAAAGGCAAATGCTAGCTAGACCCAGTGCAAAGCTCCAGTGAACAGGCTGTGCACTAGAAAGGTCTGCCTAGGTGCCTGGAGGGTACAGAAAACACCCCTGCAAGCTATGGAGACGCAGTTCCTTCTCTCCTACCTCCTCCAGCTGCCCCTACTAGTCACAGACATTATAATTAAATTGTACCCTCCTCCCACTAGCTGAGTGTGCCGATCCATCACCCTGCCTGCACAAGTTCTAGAGAACATTTATGGACCTGTTTAAATACAAGAGCAGCCCCAATTTGCTGAAGGTCTCAGAGGACATTTGAAACCTTTGGCTTCCACAGCTTCATAGGATGCTGGCTAGTGATGCAGACAGGATGCTTTCAAAAGGTCCACATAGCCAACCAGTTTGCATGGCTGTCCGGCACACATTTCCACTGCACTCCAGGCTTAGAACATGCAGCTCATGCTCCCGGTAGCAATTCGTCAGGTGGAAACCGCTCAGTATCTTCCTCTGCCACCCGGCCTTGAGCATGCAGACTGGTGTCCTCTTTTGCTGACTTGCTTTGGAGAAGCTGGCAGGCAGCTGCATATTGTGCTGTGGGTGAGAGGAACATGGGGCACAGTGAAGATCATAGAACCTTGGGAGGATTAGCCAGGGTTGTGTCGAGAGGCTTAGGAGCCAGAATTTGGTAAACCAGGGTTGTAACATGATAGGGTCAAAAAGACAGTGGAACAATGAGTCTAGGATGGACTTCAACCTAACCACATCCCAAATGGAGCAACTAACATGTAACAGCTAGGCTGAGTCCAGACTGTCTGTGACATCTAGATCACTAGCTTCAACCGTCCCAATCTGATAGTCATAAACACCCCATGTAGTCCTGTTGTAACAACTCTCCATGTAATTGAAATGAAGTGGGAACTGTGTTCATAGAATAATGAGCAGTACTTCCCCAGAAACACACCTTGAACTGTGAGCACGCAATGATGCAGAGTCAAAACCTGAGAGGCCAGGTGCCTTTCCAGCTATTCTGTGCTCACCAGCAGACAAAGGGAAGAATGTGTCAAATAGACCAGTAGGGGCTCCCTGGCCATTAATACACATTCCTCGTATCTCCCCTTTGCATTCCTATCCTCAGTAGCCAAGTAGATCCATCATGCTAACGACCCCTGAAGAGTTCACTCAGTTTACCCATCAGTCCATCAAAGCACTTCCTTGGCATCATTAGAAATACTCTCTCTAGTCTGCTTGCTCTGCAAGGAGATTACTTTTACTGGTGTCCTCACAGTCTTTATCAAGCTATATTCATAGTCATTTCTGAATTTGGTTTCCTAATTTCATCATAAAGAAAGCAAACTATTAGGCAGCTCTAGGCATTCCTCAATAATGCATGGAGGAATACTATCTTATAACAAAGTGTAAAGGAGAAGGTGAAAGCAGATCACAGAGTTAATCAAGCATCAGTTAAGCCCAATCTGTTATCTTGATCAGAAGGAAAAACATCACTATAGTTTTATCCACAGGAAGCGGGGGTGGAGGGAGGGCAAAGTTCACAACATCAGTACCAAGAGCAGTAGCCCTGTGCATCTTTCTGCACGTCCTTTGGCTTAAAGGAACAATGATCTGTTTCAAACAAGATAATTACAAAGGGTGAAATTTACCCTCATGCAAAGGGCCGCACAAGACCTATGCATTATTCAGACCTCACTTTAGCCCTAAAAATAAAGTGTAATTGGGATTTAGATGGTGCATACCATTGCTCACCCTTTGTGCACAGGGGAATTTTACCCAAAGTAACCTCTTGGTTGGTTTTTGTTGCTGCACACAGGAGGAAAAGGTCCCACAGGAGAATGCACAGGAATTATAGGGTGGTATATGAAAATAATACTATGATGTAGAGTTTGAGGCTTACATTTAAGACTGTGTTTTATTTGTATAGGTGATTGTATCACAAAGAAACATACCCAAAACAGACAGTACTGAAGACTGAAGTCCTGTTGTTATTTACAGAACATGCATGTTGAAAGCTTTCCCACTCTGACTCACTAATATGTCTCAAGCCTGGCCTGAAGGGGTAAAGAGGAGTGCATAACTCAGCCTCCATGGCCCATTCCATCCTTGCCTTCTTTGCTGAGGTCAACACGAATGTTCTATTTTTGGGATGTGGACACTTGTCCAGATACTCCCAAAGCTTATTTTGCACAGGCTGCGTAACAACAGCCATCAGTTGATATCAGCTTTTAGTCACTTCCTTCCTGGACTTGCTGAATACCAACTTAGAAACCTAAAGGTGATCCCCATACAAATCTCCCCAGCTGTCCGGGTCCCAGCTTGAACCAAGTAAACGGTCGGCCAATGCGCTTCTCGTCTCCTCCCTCTTTTATTTTTTTTCTTTGCAGGACTACGTGAACTCCAGTGTTCCCTGCCTGTTGAAAACAGAAGAATCTTTCTGGACGAATTATCTGAGGTCAGCTTCAGTGAATGCAAATTTAGTTTGTCGTTAACGGACCTGTTGATCATCATCTTCTCTGGAGTGGCGGTCTCCATCGCTGCCATTCTCTCAAGCTTCCTCTTGGCAACGCTGGTGCATTGCTTCCAGAGATGCACTCCCAGCAAAGACGACGATGACGAAGAAGACAGTGAGGACTGAACCTTTCCTGTATTTAAATATCCCTCGTTTATAGATTACTTGATCAACAGCCAATGTCAAAGAAGAAGAAGAAAGAAAGAAAAGCAAACCTAGATCTCTTGACACTGGATCTGTTTCTGTGGAGTTCAGTCAAACGTTGCATTTAAACTCAGGGTGGGGCTAGGAGAGGAAGAAAGAGGGGAATGAATCCAAAAGAAGTCCCGGTGTTTGAAAAAGATTGTCTTCATGATAGCATATGTACTTAATAGATTGTTCTAACTGCACCCTGAAAAGGGCCCACTATATGTAGCATAGATACAGAGCTTTCAGTTGGAAATACAGAAGCAATTTCATATGGTCTCCTCCCTCTGCCTGGGGAGGAGGAGAGTCAGGTAAATGTACCCAACTTCCCAAATTCAATTACATTGGTTCGTATTGCTGTATAAACCATTATAGGAAGTTTGACATTTTCTTTACACATGGTGTCTCTGTAAAGATTCTCCCACAAGTCAGTGATCCGAGTTATGAGCCTCACTCAAGCAAAGAAACATTTTAAATAAGCCAATACTGTTCTAGGTCTCAACAACAATAAAAACCCTCTCAAGCATTAGCTGCTGTTAAGCAGCTGCCCAGCAAACCTCTGGCCAGGGTATATAAATAATGATAGATTTCCTTTTTGGTTTCAGGTGTAATGAAGCAAAGACAACCCTTATCACTGCAGTACTGGGTACCAGGCTCTTTATCCTAATGTATCATTCAAATCCTGGAACAACGTTGAGTGTCATTAGCCACTTGAACAACTTCACTATAATCAGCAGAGGGACACTTTAACTGGATTGCAGTCTGCATACAGCAATGTTCTGAAATGTACTGAAAGCCGGTGTCAAGCGGAGTGCCCCAGGGGTCGGTCCTGGGGCCGGTTTTGTTCAATATCTTCATAAATGATCTGGAGGATGGTGTGGATTGCACTCTCAGCAAATTTGCGGATGATACTAAACTAGGAGGAGTGGTAGATACGCTGGAGGGCAGGGATAGGATACAGAGGGACCTAGACAAATTGGAGGATTGGGCCAAAAGAAATCTGATGAGGTTCAATAAGGATAAGTGCAGGGTCCTGCACTTAGGACGGAAGAACCCAATGCACAGCTACAGACTAGGGACCGAATGGCAAGGCAGCAGTTCTGCGGAAAAGGACCTAGGGGTGACAGTGGACGAGAAGCTGGATATGAGTCAGCAGTGTGCCCTTGTTGCCAAGAAGGCCAATGGCATTTTGGGATGTATAAGTAGGGGCATAGCAAGCAGATCGAGGGACGTGATCGTTCCCCTCTATTCGACATTGGTGAGGCCTCATCTGGAGTACTGTGTCCAGTTTTGGGCCCCACACTACAAGAAGGATGTAGATAAATTGGAGAGAGTTCAGCGAAGGGCAACAAAAATGATTAGGGGTCTGGAACACATGACTTATGAGGAGAAGCTGAGGGAACTGGGATTGTTTAGTCTGCAGAAGAGAAGAATGAGGGGGGATTTGATAGCTGCTTTCAACTACCTGAGAGGTGGTTCCAGAGAGGATGGTTCTAGACTATTCTCAGTGGTAGAAGAGGACAGGACAAGGAGTAATGGTCTCAAGTTGCAGTGGGGGAGGTTTAGGTTGGATATTAGGAAAAACTTTTTCACTAAGAGGGTGGTGAAACACTGGAATGTGTTCCCTAGGGAGGTGATAGAATCTCCTTCCTTAGAAGTTTTTAAGGTCAGGCTTGACAAAGCCTTGGCTGGGATGATTTAATTGGGGATTGGTCCTGCTTTGAGCAGGGGGTTGGACTAGATGACCTCCTGAGGTCCCTTCCAACCCTGATATTCTATGATTCTATGATTTTACTCTGGTGCATTCATTCTACTTCAGTATAAACAGAGCTTCATTATACCCAAGTTCATGACAATGAGACCTGTGCCTGAAACAGAACACTGGATTTGAATATCCCCAAAGATTAAGAGGTTTCTTCTGAGCTTGCATTTTAAAATTGGTTCCCTCAGCTGAACTGAAAAATCCGCAGTCTCAGGGCATTTGCAATCTGGATCAGGTCTGTCTCTGAGTTTTGAAGCTCAAGGCTAGGTCAAGCTAGAAGTGGGTTCCAAGTATGAGTATACGAAGTTCTCATTATGAAATACAAAACAAACCATTAAAACATTCATACTTAGTGCAATGGTTCACTCTCAGAAAGTTGAGAAATCATTGGATCTGGATTGTGAATACCCACAATATTGGAGAGTTTGGCATGGAGGTTTTAGCTTGGCCCAGCATTGAGATGAGGCCAAGGGTAAAACGTGGCTGTGGATCTTGGTGCAGAATACAAATCCCCATCCATATTTAGTCACCGATTCAGGGCAGGATTTAAATATGTGCTGAAGCCCCAGTGATTTCAGTAGAATTGAAGCACATGCTTAAGTGCTGTCCTGAATAAGGATGTTTTGATGAATCAGGGTCTTAGGAGGTACTCTCATAGAAGAGATGGCTTCTCCCCGCTCTCTGCCAGTCATCCCAGCAGCGTTGTCACTGGATAGAAGGTTTATGTTATGTTTCCATGAGGCAGGGATCACCAGGGAGTTTGTTCAGGAAGGGGTTTGAGTTTATTAAAGAATGTTTTAAATCATTTATTTCTCCAGTGAGTCAATATTGAATAAATAGACATGATGAAAAATTATGATTGCAATGCATGGAACTGGGGTGAGATATTAGAAGAACTGGGGATCTTCTCCTACTCTTGTCTGGCAGCATGACATAATCAATGAAAATTATTGGCCAATAAGGTCCTGATCTTGCAAGCAGATCCAGGCAGGCTGATCCTGGCATTCACACACCCCTTACTGACTTCAGTTGGACTTCAAGCAAAAGCAAGGGTCTGCTTGCAGAATCTGGCTCTAAATTATTGTTTTGAAATACTAAGGGCTCTGTTCTGCTCACAGTTGCACTGGTATAAATCCAGAATAACACCAGTGAAATCAATGGAGTTAATCCAGATTGGCACCAGTGCAAACAAGAGTGGAATCTGGCTCTAGGATATATCAATTCTGACTGTATTATAGGTCTTGTCAAAACTTGATTTCATCTATAAAAGGGCAGATATTTTTGTTAAAAAGATAAATGAACATTTATTACAGGAGATTTTTGGAATAGCACTGGATAGCTTTTTTGGACAAGTATATTTTTAAAAAATTTGTCATGGAAATATTTTTTTTAAAATGTACATACTGAAAATATTATTTAGAAAAGCTAGGAAGACTGAAAATAGTACAAAAAAACAAAAACGAACAAAAAAAGTCAAAGCAAGCCAAGAACTATGCTCTGTTGTAGAAGACTCAGGTGTGACCATAAGTAGCATCTAACTACTGTAAAAACTGGTATTGTTTCTGTAAAACTTTTTTTTGCTATGATTTTGCCTTGCACAATTCATGCGGATTGATTTTTATTGCAATCACCCAAATCCCTTGTATCTATATTGTGTACTAATTGCTCAAGATGATGGAAGTGAAATTTAATTTTCCTATTTTGACAGGTGGTGTGGGTCAGTGGATAGGGAACAAGACTGGGACTCAAGAGACCTGCGTTCAGTTTCCAACTCTACCATTGACCTTTGACAGGTCACTTTCCATCTCTGTGCCTCAGTTTCCCTATCTGTACAAGGGGGATTAATACTTATTTATCTTTACAAAGTGCTTTGAGATCTGTGGGTGAAAAGCACTATATCTTGGGCTATGTATTATTATTACATAAGCGAGGCTGGAGCACAAGATATACAGTAAGTCTAATTCTGATTTTACATCAGTATAATTCCATTGATGTCAATGGAGTTACTTCTCATGTACACCAGTGTGAGAACAGAATCAAGCCTAGTGTAATTCAGTTTCTCATTCCACTCTATCTCTCCAGCTTCTTCAACCTGATTTAATGTTACAATTGTAATCACAAGATTATTCTTTCTGGAAATGCACTGAAACAAAATTAAGTGGTCCAGTGAAAGAATATGCTGCATCAATTCTCTCTTACTCTCTTCTTGCTCTTTCAAGAAAATGAAATGACATGGTTTTCACTATGTAGTGCCATGGTTACAAATTACACAAATATATTTCTAATGAATACATTGCTGCTGTTGTTTATTTGTACATGAAAATGATCCCCCCACCCATCTCATCTGGAGTACTGTGTCCAGTTTTGGGCCCCACACTTCAAGAAGGATGTGGATAAATTGGAGAGAGTCCAGCGAAGGGCAACAAAAATGATTAGGGGTCTGGAACACATGAGTTATGAGGAGAGGCTGAGGGAGCTGGGATTGTTTAGCCTGCAGAAGAGAAGAATGAGGGGGGATTTGATAGCTGCTTTCAACTACCTGAAAGGGGGTTCCAAAGAGGATGGCTCTAGACTGTTCTCAATGGTATCAGATGACAGAACGAGGAGTAATGGTCTCAAGCTGCAGTGGGGGAGGTTTAGATTGGATATTAGGAAAAACTTTTTCACTAAGAGGGTGGTGAAACACTGGAATGCGTTACCTATGGAGGTGGTAGAATCTCCTTCCTTAGAGGTTTTTAAGGTCAGGCTTGACAAAGCCCTGGCTGGGATGATTTAACTGGGAATTGGTCCTGCTTCGAGCAGGGGGTTGGACTAGATGACCTTCTGGGGTCCCTTCCAACCCTTATATTCTATGATTCTATGATTCTATGATTCTAAATACACAACTCCATTGCGCTACGCACTCAATTAATGAAAAATGTGCCATTTGCAGCATACACAGATACGTCATCAACAGGTTTGTAATTAGAGCTGTGGAAACAGCTTTTAGTGATACATGAACCAAGGTGACACTTTTCTGCTTTCAAGTTTTATTATGGCTCCAAAGCTTGGTTCAGATTCACCAAATGTTTTGTTCTGGCAAATTTTCAAGTGAACCTTCACTGGGTTTGGGGGGAAAATCCTATGGGGATCATCTTTTTTTCTGTTTGTACAGTGCCTGGCTTGGCAGGATCCTTGCCCATGATGAGGGCTCATAGGTGCTACGGTAATGCAAATAATAAATAATATTCATAATACCATTCAAGGGAGGGATTTATGGTTTTTCTTCCATGTCCTGTGAAGCTCAGCAATTCTGTGTACTTTTTGACCCAAACTAGGCAAAACTTTGGCCATTTTGATGGGGTTCTGATTTGAATTTCTAGGTTCATTCTAACTTTTTAGAGATGGCTTCACAAAAGGAAGATCTGGACTGAGAATGATCCCAGGTTTAGGGCTGTTGGCATTTGAAGATTTTGGTTCAACCCACTGTGAAGATAAAGTCTTTTGAAACACTGGTTTTGGTTAGGGCCTGAGCCCACTTGAAACTCAGGGGATGAGAACCAAGCCAAGCTGAAACCCAAAATAGTTTGCAAAACCAATGGTAGAGTTTAGCAAAGCTCTGTTTATAACACTGTCACTGTCTCATGTTAAAGTGATTTTTGCAAAATATGTTATTTTCAAGATAAGAGCATTTCATAACATAGTACACTGCTGAATAATATGTAATACGTCGGTATTATACTCAACTGTTTGGAATCATTTTTGCATTGTGAACATATGCACTCACATGCCATTAACATGGGTTTCACATATTTTTACTTGCTATTTAATGTGTCAGAACTTGGACTTAGTTCTCACTGGGTTTTTATTATTATTATTTAATATCTATATTGAAAGGAATGGTGGTCTGAAGCTAAAACACTGGGCTGGAATAGAGAAGACCTGGGTTCAGTTCTGCCACAGACTTGACTGTGAACAAGTCAATTAATCTCTCTGTGCCTCAGTTCCCCACTTGTAAAATGTAGGTAGACAAATTTCCTTGGTCGGTTTTGTCTGTGTCGACCATAAACTTCTTGGGGCCGGGACTATCTATTAGTGTGTGTTTGTACGGTGCCTGGCACGTTGGGACCCCTATTTCAGTTGGGTGCCTGGGTGCTGCTGTAATATAAATAATAATAATAATGAATAATAACACTCGATTCTCACTGGTGAGGTCCATATTAAAAGAGGAAATTTTCAAAGGCATCCCTTATCACCAGTGCTGCTTGTTGTAGCAATGCTGGTGCATTGGATGCCCCGTGAGACCAATTGTGGTTACCATATCAGCAAAGGGCGAAGACCAGTTGACTATTTGTTATACATGGATGATCTATGGACTATCACAAAAGGAGACACAGAAACTGATGATGTGGTCGATGCATTTGGCGAAGATATAAATCTACAAGTTGACTTGGCTAAACATGCATCCGCATCTGAAAAGAAGGGCAAACTGGTACAGACAGATGGCATACAAGTTAACAAAGGTGCTATCCAAGATATCTCTCAGAGTAGCCCCTACAAATACCCTGGAATCAGGGAACTGTCAGAGTTACAACATAAGGAAGTCAATGAAGAGGTGAGGAAAGATACAGACAAATAAGACCTACTCTAAGGACAAAACTCAACTGGAAGAATTTGATCCGAGCTATTAATATGTGGGTGATACCAGTAGTACAGTACTCTGTGGGGGTGATCAAGTGGAATCAAGGGGAGAAGAAAAAATTTGGAATCCAAACAAGAAAGCTCCTGGCGATGCATAGAGTAATGAATATCAATTAAGATGTTGACAGGATGTACCCCCAACTTCTTCTTCACATGACTGATGTGGAGCAACAATTAAAATTTTACATTTAGATGGTTAAGCCAGATCATTGCATCTGGAATAGCAGAGTTTATTGCTGTGATGCTTCCTTTGTATTTGTGAGTAGGGCATTGAGTTATTATACGTTCCACGGTCTGTTCTGGGTGACCACAGTCACACACTGGAGAGTCTTTAATTTTCCATTTGTGCAGCATGTATCTGCATCTGCCATGGTTTGTGCAGATACGTTTTAGGGTTGCTCAGGAGCTTCGTGGGAAATCGAAGCCATGGATCGACTGCATCGGGTCTTTCATTGGATATTTATTTGTGACTTCTTGTGAAGTCCATTTGGCTTTCCAAGCTGCCTCAGCGTTGACGTTGCATTGCTGAAGGTTAAATGCCTGGGTCCAATTCTTGTGCCTTCAAGCGGGGGTGAGGGATGTTGTTAAGGTCCTGGTGGATGGGAAGCTCATTTTCCAGAATCCTCTAGAATTCCTGAAGGGTTGTGGCATTGCAGCAAATGGATGGGGGAACAATGTACGACAGCCTTGGCAGCCAAGGTGTGGAGGTCCGACCATCTGATGGAAGAAAAGTTCTGCTATCTGTGGAGGAAGCATCTGACAATGTAAAGTATAAGATCAAAATATATTACGAGCAAGAGAGAGTAAAAGATCAACTGGTCATGATAACAAGTGATGACTGAGTGCATCCAAAGCCCAAGAAAGCATAAAAGAAAGGAGAAAGCAGATCACCAAAGAAAGACTCAGAAGAGGTACACAGAAATCATGGTACGGACAGTGGTGGGGAGAGATCGAACCCATTAGTGATCGAAAACTAACCTGTTCATGGCTTGTAGAAGGATGCCTCAAAAAAGAGGCAGAGTACCTCATTACGAGTGCACAAGAGCAGATCTTCAGGCTTAATTATATTCGAAGCAAAACTAACCGACAGCACTGCTCCCTGAACTGCAGACTGTGTTCCGAAAAGGAAGAGATGGTGGAGCATGTGCTGAGCGCCTGTTGGAGCCTGGCTGGGAGAGAATATCTGAACAGACACAATGAGGTCACCAAGTGTCTGCACTCAAGCCTCTGTGGCAAATACAGATTTAAACGAACCGTGCAGTATTATGACCACCTAACTGAAACTGCTCTAGAGAACGAGGAGGCCAAGATTTTATGGGGTCTGGCAATTGCCACAGACTGAATGGTGCTGTCAAACAGGCTGGACATCGTTGTTGTAGAAAAGAAGACAAAAAAGACCGTGTCCATTGATGTTGCGATCCCAGCAGACAGAAACGTAAAAAAAGAAACAAGAGGAGAAGATAGTGAAGTATGAATAACTCTGCCACCAAGTGGAATGATTATGAAAAACTAGAATAAAGACAATCCCAGTGACTGTTGGAGCAACTGGAGTGATCCCTAAGGATACGGATGAGCAGCTCAAGAACTAATTGGGAGAGCAAGACGTCAGGATCGGTGACCACTGGAAGACAGCGCACTTGGGCACTGTGAGAATTTTAAGGAAAGTCAAGGAGCCCCTAAAATGCAAGAATTCTGTAGAGGGTTTAACAAAACTCCTGACTACTCAAACCTACAGAGCCAGTTCATGATCAGGATTTATCGGTGACTCATGGGGATAAATTTTAGACAGCAGAGATCTCCTTTTTATGCGTAAAGATCTTGTACATTGTGCAGGCTATTTGTTTAAAAAATGTCCTGAATGTAATATGGAAGGATAACATTAATAATAATACCACTGAAGCACATGGTCCCAATTAGAACCAGGCCTTTTTTTGCTAGGTGTTAAATAAACGTATACGAAGACATGGTCCCTGCCCCAAAGATCTTACGATCTTATGAGGATAAGGAGCAGGTGGAGAGAGGGGGTTACAATCAAATATGCACAGTTGTACATATGTATGTATAACATATATTAACTAGCTGGTAAAATATGTGAAACCCATGTTAATGTCATGAAAATGCATATACCCACAATGATAAGTGTGTGTATGTGTGTGTGTGTACAGTTGCAATTTTTTCCCCTGTTAACTAGAAATCACCTCCTGTGCTACAAATTGCACCTGGAAGGGAAGATGCATGATACAGTGGCACACCAGCAGTCAGGAACTGGGAGTCCGTCCTTAGCTCTTCACAGACTTGCAGTGGGAACTTGGACAAATCACTGAGCCTCCCTATTGCTCAGTTTCCTCACCTGCATACTGGGTGAAGAATACTTCCCTACCTCAAAGGGAGGTTGTGAGATGTAACAAAATGTTTGTAAATCACTGTAAAATTCTTGGATGCAAGGTGCTGTGAAAGTCCAAAGCATTCCATTCTTATGTCATCACTCACTTTTTCAGAACCATTTGTGCTGTACTAATTGCCAGCCAATTACTCTGATTTATTCCCCATAACTGAAATGACTGATTATGCTGTCTCTGACTTACTAAAAAATAAGCATGGAGTAGTGGCTTA